GTGTTGTACTGTTTGTAAGGGCAGTCAGGATGACAGTATGTCAAGGATCATTTACCAAAAAAAAAATATTCTAGAGGTGTACAGCAGTTATCCGTGAACTAAATTATTCCAGTAACTCAATGAAGTTTAAACCCTGTTCTGCAACAGAAGGCAGTAAAACACATCATATGGTGCTTTTCTGGACAGTCCACTCAATGCACTTTACAGGTAATGGAGACTCCCCTCCACCACCACCAATATGCACCACCATACACCTGGATGATGTCACGGCTGCCATAGTGCACCAGTATGCTCACCACACACCAGCTGTAAGTGGGGAGGAGAACAGAATGGTGAAGCCAGTAGGGATTATTAGGAGGCCATGACTGGTAGGGGCCAATGGGAAATTTGGCCAGGATGCCAGGGTAACACCCCTACTCTTTTCAAGAAACGCCCTGAGATTTTTAATGACCACAGAGAGTCAGGATCTCGATTTCATGTCTCATCTGAAGGACGGCATCCGTTTTACATTATAGTGTCCTCGTCACTATACTGGGGCATTAGTACCCCCTACTGGCCCCACTAATATCTATTGCAACTTCCAGCATCAAACTTAACTTTTGTAGGAGGTCTCCCGTCCAGGTACTGACCAGGCTCACACCTGCTGAGGTTCAGTGGGCTGCTAGCTGTGTTGCAGGGCGATAGAGTTTCTGGCAACAGCCTGTAATACAGACAGAAGCTGGGGGCTGGAAGAGAGTTATGTGAACTCGGATAACACAACTTTCATCTTCTAATGAGCTTTTGTTTTTCTTATATTTCATTAACAAAAATGGAAATGCCAATAATACTGTAGAGGCATGCCAACAACACGCACAGCATGTTGAAATTAGAATTTACAATTTGTATCCTCTTTAAATTATTTACAGTAAGCAGACTTGACCTACTTTCACTGTGTCATTTACAGAATGATAAAAGTTTTGGTAGATGATTGCGCCATGTTTTTATTTCATTCAAGCAATATCAAGAGTGTGTTCTGCATTGGCACTGCCTTATAGATGTGTTGTCAACCGCAGTAGGTAAATCTCTGAACCAGTAATCACAAAAAATAGATCAAAATACTGCTTACAGCAGGTCTCAAACTGCTTACAGCCAAAAATAGCTAAATCCTAGAGTTGAATGATTCTTATGGACTTCTATCAAAATAATCCTATTTTATGAGCAGGTCCCTTATACCATGTAAAAAAGAGCACTACCAGTTGGCTGAGCAATATTAAACAGTGAATCACTTTGTAGGTGGAGGTGTCACTTGTCCAGCTTGGAAATATTATATGTAGAACCCTGGACAAGTGTCAGATATCTACACTTTCCTGCTCACCGAAATGGTGGCTCATTAGTGAGATTCTGTGAAAAGAAGATGTCTGCTGAGTTTGAAAAATGACCTAATTCCATAAGACTGAAAGCTTTGAAACTGACCTTGAGAACTGTAACATTAATAGTTACATCACTAAACAACAGAATTAGGTCTCTCCACACAATTGTAAGTTTTGACATTATTGTGAGTAGAGAGGAAATTTCAGCATCCAGTTTCTTTATAGTTGAAAGTGCCCCAAGGGACCACTGTCATAGTTTGCCTAAAGCATTTAGGAGGCTTGTATGAACTAATTAATAACTTAATATAATATCTCAATTTGCAAATGATTTAGTCTGATAAGGCTATTTTCAGAAAATGTTCATTCTGTAGGCCAGTTTGAATGGATTTCTCTATATAGAAAATCATCCGTCATCAACTTGATCAACCTTGTGACCTCTAGCGAAGATGCAGTCTATTTTTACAAAAATATACCTGTTTAATAAATGAACATTCGTAGACTGTCCTGCTTTTTTTGGTCATCTGTACTTAACCATTAAACAGATGGTCAAGTCAAGGACATGATCCTTTCAGAAAGAATTTTGCCTCCAAAATGGCAGGCACATGCTTACATTTCAAAGTCGTTTAAACGTGCTCCCCAAAATGCAAATCTTTGGAAGATGAATCCTAAGATATTATTTGAGGATTCTGACAGTTAAGCTATTTAATGTTTTATTTATGAGCTTACATAGGTCTTTTAAAGAGGGTGTGAGATCTTGTGGTTAAGTTATAGGGAGTTTTCGCCAAACAGCTCCATGTTCCCTCTAGTTTTCCTGTGTTGGTTGCCTTGAGCATGTTCCTGAACCTTCCTGGTTTCAGCCCGTCCAGTGGAATATGTGAATATTGTAATATCATCTGTAAATGTGGAACATTGGACAAGTGTCAGATATCTACAGATTCCTGCTCGCTGAAATGGTGGTTCATTTGTGAGATTCTTTGTAAAGAATATCACAGATAAAGTGATGTTAGAATATGATATGTGCGATTCTGTTGTGTGTAGCTGCTGTTCATTTTCTAGCTACTGGTGATTGCTTTGCTTAATTCCTTTTTTTTCATATTATCCTAACAATATTATTAAAAAGCAGATAATTTAAAACATTCTGGCATAAATGGCATGTTATGTATGACTCAGGCTGCATGCATAAATATACGTGTGAGCATGCATGCAAATCCTATTTGTTTTTCATACAAGTAATGTAGTACATGCTGACAGCAGTGTTTTTTGAAGAGTTCCATTGTCCTTGATATGCAGGAAAAGCATTGTCCCGTGAAGGTAATTGCAATAGAAGGGCTTGCCATTTTCTTTGTCAAATTGGTAAATCTTTTTTTATATATACGTAATGAATTAGGAATTGACAGCTATTTCAGTACTCAACGTCTTCAGCAAAAGCCCTGTACCGCTGAGATTGAATCCTAATTATGTCCATCTGTAGATTCATTCACAATTTGATACATTGTATGTCCCATTGTGCCATAAGGGAGAGTCACCACATGATGGAGGAGTAGTAGTGTTTTCTGATGTCACTGCAAGCTTGCATGTGCCTATCAAGTCTCAGGAGTCTCTGTTGTGCTTTGAGGACCCTGAGCTACTGTATGAACGCTAACCTATCGTCGTGATCATTGTCAGTTTTATTTATCTCGAGCACCACTGCTTGCTGGACAGATGCCTCAATGCAAAAATGTGCTTAAGTCTTTGTTTTTTGTTTTGTTTCTGAATCAACGCTCATCTGTTAAACTTCCTTCTTGTCTGCAAGGGGCTCTTTGCGAGCTAAGGTTATGTTTCAATCTTTCAATGTTTTCATTAACCTTTTGCTTTGGCAGTTTTGACTGACCACAACAGCTCATCAATCTTTTAAGCTTGCCTTGTCTGAGATAGCCACAATGTCTTTGCGAAGGTCCAAATATGTTTCTTTTTTATGTCTGGATGATTTAATTAGTTGGGCTTTGTAATGCAGTCTGTGGAAGGCAGATAAAAAAAAAAACTTTCAAAAGCAGTTCTTATTCTGTAAAACATTCCAGTTCTATTGACCACCTAGTCATGTCCAGACCTACATTTTAAAATTACGGTTATCTCTGTATATGAATGAAAGCAAATCAGCAGTTATTCTTCATATCCTGACAGTAATTTAGAATAATTATTTGTTCATTGTGGAACCTTTCAGAGCTGCACGTCCTGAAAAAATACGAAAATTAATTTTCTAAAGCTTCTAGAATTTGTGCATCTTAAGCATATTTTAACCTTTTGCATTGCTTCCTGAATTTTTATGATGATCGGGCCCTTTTGTAATTCAGAATAAACTATTCTATTATGGATTGTGCAGTTAAAATAAAGCTTTAATTATGCCGATTGAAACCAAACTCAACCTATTCTGGGGGGTGCGAGGGTTTGTTCCTCCTATATTTGATGAGAATGAATAACTTTCTGAGAGATACCTTTGCTTAATAAATTACATTTTATGAGCTGTTTTTAATCAAAAACTGCTACTGTAACTGCTCTTGTAAATCAAGCAAAAAAGAAAGATATCACTGTGTCAGATGATATAATTATAATAATAATTGCTTACACTTATAGCGCTTTACAGGTAATGGGGTCTCCCCTTTGCCACCACCAATGTGCAGCATCCACCTGGATGATATGATATGGACCATTAATTTCTGCCTATATCCTTAAGCTTTTAGTGATTATTTTCAAATGAAGCTTTTAAGTTGCATCTTTACAGTCCCACCAATACATACATGGGATCGCCAGAAGCATTAAGAGGAGACTGTTAAGCAATACGGGCATAGTATATTACTCTAATTAGTATTACATTAACTGTAATACTACTAGTATGACTAAGTATTCATAATAAAATATATGAACCTCTTCTAACACATCTTCTTTACAACTGAAACAAAATGAACATTATCATTGTTGTCACCTGGCTGCTACATAAAGATATATAACTTTAGCTATATTCGTACATAACGCACAAAAAACTCCTACACTCTACCTGTATAACGTATATTAAGAGTGTAATGAACTCCTAGGTGATTACAGGATTTGATGTTATTTACAGGAAATAATTACCGACCTGTCAGTAAAATGTATTAAGAAGAGACGGTTAACGTCCGCGTTTTTGATGCCCCTCGTTTATTTATACAAAGAGCGCAACTTAGTACCTGTTCCTCTGTCCACTCTGCCAAGGGAAAGGTTCCACTCTCAGGCTTCACTGCAGCGAATGAAAAGAAGGACTGGACACCAGTATTACCTTACCGTGAATCGGATCTCACCTGCCCCTTACACTACATTATCCACAGTATCTTGTTTCACATCCGGATTCAAGCTAGCAAATTTACAATGCTTAAACTAATAACGTTCCTAGAGAATTAGCACCTAGTAATGCATGCATTGGAAATGCTGTCATTTAGAAATCCAGTAATTGTCTTGTATTATATTTATAATTACTGTTCTGCACCTTAGCCATGTTTTTAAACATGCATCTTTGCTAAACCGATTCAGACCATCTGATTTTGTGTTTTGCTTTATTCCTGTTGCATTGGTTGAAACAGATATATTTCTTTTGCTAAACAAATAAAAATGTCGTAATTCACTTTTTTCCCCCCTCTCCAGCTCTGTTGTTGCTGTATGACGTCACCAACAAAACGTCCTTTGACAACATTCAGGTAGGCTCCTGTTTTTGATCCACTGACACTGTAAATCCTACCGTTATCCTTTAAGCCTAAACTGAAATCCTGAGCACTGTTGGGAAACTGCTTTCAGAAAGCGCCTGTTATTTCTCCAGGTTCTGTGTGAACAAATGTTTTGATGGGATATGATTTTTTTCTTCATTAATAATTCCAAATTGATTAACTTCACTGTAGGTTGAGATAATTAGGTTCTGGGTTTGTCTTGTGAATTAAAGGATTTTATTGTACTTACAGTACATCTTTAGTTGTAACTAAGGTAGTCACGTTGCAATTTAGAAATTATCATTTGTATATCTTTCTGGTGTTTAAAACATCCAGAATAATCGGCATTCATTTAATTGTTCAATTTAGATTTGAGAGGTCCTTTTTCTAATTATACATTGTATCCTTTACTGGTGAAATGTACCCTTATCACAGCTTTGAAGTTTGCTTTCATTTGCTGATAAAGTCTAAGCTTTGTCAGGATGAACAATACTGGCTTTTTGATCGAATTAGTTGGCTTTTGTTGGGGCTGTGCAGTTAAATTGGGAGGTCAAGGTACAAAGCAGATTGCTGGAGTTATTGGGTGGGGAACATTTTGTCTCATTGTCCATTGTGGAATATCTGGAAGATTATGATAAGTCTGGGCTATGAGGTCAGGCCTTTCTCTGGAACCGAGGGAAGGGCACGAATTAGGATGGGAAGAAGAAAACTTATGAGGCTTTCAAAAGAAACAGCCTCCTAGAGTATATCAAAGCAGCATCCAGCTATATCGTTGGAGCTTAAACGAATTCTGTGAGGTACCCCACAGGCTGTAACTCATCCGTGCAATCTGTGACTATGTGATTTAAGTCTCTCTTCATACCTCAGGTGCTTTCTGAGACTGTAGAAAGACAGCACAGGCTGTATAATCTTGCTCGCAAAACCACCAAGCTGGTGTTTTAGAAAGTCAATTCTCTTGAGAGCTGAAGAAAAGCGCCATTTCCATCTCACCAGAGTTAAGTCTGAAAGCGAATATTTGTTATGAACATTGGAGGTGTCAGTGGTCCCGATTGCACAGGCCCTGTTTCTCAATGGTTTGAGTCACTAAGCAGCTGTCACAGGATTTCACAGATAGAGACATACAAACCATTGCTTTCTCTGAGCTTTTCTTTCCTTGACTGGACGTGACAAAAAGAATTGGAAAGTAATTGTGTAAATGGTGCTAAAGAAGGTGTAATATAGGGCTGGCATGTACTGTGAGCTTCAAAGAGTTGTGTCTTTAGATCAGTGGTTCTTAACCTGGGGTGCACAGCAGTGTGGGGTGAGGTTTAAGAGTTAACCTTTGTGGGGATTTTTTTAGAAGGTAATTAATTGAAATCACAAATAACGCACAGGTATGTAAGTACAATTACTTGGTTGCACCAAACCTAGGTATTTGAAGGTAAACTTTTTTCCTTCATTTTTCATGCATTCATAATTTTACTGTGAAATTTAAATAAACATAATTCTGCCTCTTTCGTTCTATAATTATGACATATCTTAGGTTTAAATAAGTAAACTACGTCAACAACTTTGGATAAGTGGTGCGAGAACAGATTTTGAGAACTAGTGGACTCCAGGCTGCAGTAATGATTAAGAACAGCTGCTTTCAATGGGAAACAGTAGACGCTGGTGTTGTGTCCCTCTGAGACTTTTTCAGCCATTCATTTTATTGACAGAACAAACACAAATTAAAAGTGTATGGCGCCTTTAACTGCAAAGTCTAACTTTAAGTCCACATGAATAAGCCAAATTAGAAAACCATCAGTTTTAGGAATAATACTGTATATTCTTTTCTAAATTTCCAACACAAGTGTGTTTTAAGTTCTTGCAGTTTTCACATTTTGAAAAGATTCATTATCACAAACTTGGTACCTGTAGCCTGGAGATTGCTGGTTTAAATTATCCAGTTAATTAATACATTTATGGTGTCAAACAGAGCCTCTTGGTATTATTATCAAAAATCATCATTATTTTATGTCCATAGACCAAAATCAAAAGAACACATCAGAAACAACAACAAAAAAAAATCATCAGGAAGCCAACAGCATTAAGAGGATCATTAAGGAAACCAGTGAGAGCTTTGAACAACTGCTGTTTTCTGTAGTGGCGATAATGATCGGTTTAAAAAAGGAGATTCGGAAGACGTGTGAGACTATACAGAGCAGGTCAGCAGCGACGAAGTGCCAGGATCCACAGGCAGAATGGGGCTGTAGTAACTGTGCGTTTTAAAACTCAGTTTGAGGAGAGACGGCGGCCTTGTTTTCATGTTGATTACGTTTCAAATCCGAAAAACATCAGTTTAGTTGGAGGCTGCAGATTTATAACATTCATCTTATCCTCCTTGCCATGTGCCTCTTTCTGTACCCGCTAGAAGGTGATGCAATTTCCCAGGAACCTGGATATTGTCGAATTCCCCAATGGGATGGGAGCGAGGCCTTTCAGCATATCGGAGATCACCTCTGTTTGGAGGATGCGTTGTGTTGCTCGGGGCCGAGACGAATTGATCACTGTCTCACAGCCTCAATGCATTGTTTAACTCCCTAAGTATTTCCCTGCTGCTTAATCGGAACAAAGACTGACATGCTCTTCTAAGGTCAATAAAAATGTTTGTGTGAAGCCCTCCAAAACGGAATCACTTCAGCTGAATGAGAAGTGATCAGCTTTAAGCCTGGCCTTCATTCGTTAAGAGAAAACAATGTGTTGAGTCGTTTTTTTAAGGAAATAAATTTGGCACTGTAGTAGTGGCATCACATTGTTTTGCTATGGGTCTTTTTATGTTCACTGTGGCGCAGGAAGACTATTTGAAGAGTGTTTGAACAGTTCCCATTTTGTTGAAGTACAAATAACGTCTACATAATTTTTGATTAAAAAGTTTAATGTAAAAAGAAAAACGATTATTTTCATGGGTAGTGAGGTTAAATGTCCGTTTTTACAAGTCCCTAACCTAGAGATGTGAGATTTTCCTTGCAGGTTTATGGATATGGGTTGAAGTCTAGGTGAGGACGCTTTCTGAATTTGGAAATTGCATGTTCTTTTTGTGCTTGTGTGGGTTTTTGCTTGGGTGCTCCAAAAATGTCCTCCCAATTCCCCAAAACAGGCCGAGAGGTTCAAAGGCTGCGCTAAATTTGCCAGCTCCCATGAGGAGCTGGAGTGTGACCCTTTCTCGATTTTAGGCCCTGTCTTTAGTAATTGTGTTACAATGCTGACTCCCACTTAACTGGATTAAGACTCAGGCACACCGATAGTCTACAGGTTATAAATATGGAGTGAATTGCATAACATGGATTCTATCGATGCTTTTTTTAACTCCACATGGTTTGCTTGAGGTTAGTGCTGAATGATGACGACTTTGTTTTATATGATATCACACTGGCTGTTTTCATTTCTAGACTAGTTGTTCTTGTTTTTGGTGGAATAAATATTTGTATTCTGTTTTAGCTGGGTGTCTTCTGCTGCTAATACTGTACATGGTAAGGCTGCGTCTGTCTCCTTGCTTCTGCATGATCTATTGGAAGTGTGCGCTGTGTTTCTCTGGGCGTCGAAATGTCATCCGTGTGCCCATGGAAATAGAGAGCTGGAGCAGCACAAGTCGAGTCTGTTTATTGAAGGCCTCCTTCAAGAGAGCAGAGCAGATGAATTCTCATTTGAAATTCAAGGCATGCTGTTTCTTAAAAAAGAAAACCGTGTCTTAACACACTGCTGTGATGAGTTCCAAGCTGGAAATGGCGATTTAGAAGCCTCACAGGTTGATTGGATTAATTTTTAAAATAAACAAAACTACTTTTATTTGAGACAGTTGTGGGAAAACAGGGAGAAACGGAGAATTTTTAGCATTGCTAAAAGGCGGGGGGAGCAGGTATAATTGAGTTCGTTGCAACCCCCTGAGAATCTGGAACAGCCATGAAACGATCAGGGTAGGTGTTTATTTGAGCAGAGCTCTGTCGCACTGTGCTCTCAGACGTCCTTATTAAAGCTGCTCTTCTTCCCCTGCCTTTTGCTCTTTACCGAATAATCACTCCGAAAATTAGTTTCCCAGTCCTTCTAGAGGCTCGCCAATATAATTTAACAAGGCATTGTCATTTACATTTGTATCTGCTGACCTCTTCCAGATTGAGCATGATTCCAATTTGGAAGTGAAATTTCTATTTTATATTATTTTTAGATTTTATTTAATATAGTTGCATAATATTTATATATTAGACATTTCATGTCAAGACACAACTTGATTTGCATTGTAATGTAATGTATGTTTATGGGCTTGCTGTATGTGCAGAAAGTTGTTTTCTGGAGCTTCCAAAATAGCACACATTTCAAATTAGTTTTCTCTCTTTCAAAAGCTGTTCAACCCTCCAAGACAGAGACATTCTGGAAAGCTTCAGATAGCCCCGTTATTCACCCTGGATGTGAGTCAGTTGGGCATACACCAAGTGGGAGTAAAAATCACATAAAATAACTCCATGCTGTTCCTTGTCAGCTCCCGAGCTGGAGAGTCAGTGGTTATCTGTTTGTTAGGCATACGTTTCAGAGCTGTATTGAGATAAATGATGTATATTTCACTATTCTTCTGTATGCAGTGTATGAAATATAGATTTTACTTGCTCTAGTGTGGCAATATGAAGCCCTCTACTAGATTCTAAAAAAATAATTTTGGTGTGCAGTAGGTTTTAAGATTTTCCTTTTCCTTCACAGATATTAAAAAGAGAAAACCGACACACATGAAACTGACTGACAGACACTTTCAGCCCACTTACATATTCCATACAATCAAGAGTAAAGATCGTATTAATCTTAAATGTTTGATGTTCAGCCCTCCTGTAGAAAAGGGAGCACATCTTGTCTCTTTCAGAACTGAGACTTTTGGGAAATTGAATTTATTTCAGGCCACTTCACATGGTGATTCAGAACAAAAACGTTTTTTTTTTATGATTCCACTAGGAACCACGCATAATAATGACTGTTGATTAACTGCCTTTAGTTAATTTTCAAAAAGGTCCAGACATCCTTTTTTAATGCCTGTACTGCAGTCTGCCCTGCTTTGTTTGGCTTTCAACACCAAGTGCAGGTTTTAGGAAAGTCATTTCCCAGATTACTTTGGACTAAGCTTTATTATTCTGAATGTGTTGCTCTCAGGGCTGTTGTTTTTTTTTTTACTTCAGGCAGTCAATTAAGTTACATAAAATGATATAGAGGCATGGCTCTGGACCCAGACCCCTGAGGGTTATCGACCAGTGAGTGGGAGTTGTTGGGGGGGATGGGACACATATCTCCCTGGGTCAGCTAGAGCAGGGTATCTTAACCTTTTTCATCCAGGACTCAGATTAAATTTGCATGTCATTTTTGCGACCCGTGATTCAGTTTTGAACTCATTCCCTTTTAGTGTTAGACAGACAGATTAAGTATATTATTGTGATAAACAAGTTCGTTAGTTGGTGGTACACAGCAGATTCTGCAGAATCACAAAATAGTGGAAGAACAGCACAAGAAAGCAGCACATTCATGTAAAACTCGACTTGGCACAAGCTTTGAAAATTGTTCAAACTGTGATTGTGTATTTGAAAGGCTGCATCCGTTCTCTTTTTTCCCCCACTTTGATCCAGGATTCTTTTAGTGATTCTGTTTGTGTTCGGAAATCCTAGCGCAGTGTCTGGGCAGATTTGGTTCAGCTGCTCAAGAAGACAGCACTGCTTAAAATGTGTTTGTATTTGTATTTAGTCAGGAATATGTCTATGAACCCGGGAATGATTAATTATGAGGAATTATACTTGATGTCTAAGAGAAGATGCATTAAACATTTTCATTTCTACTAATTACTTTTCACAGAGGAGTGTGATATTTTTCTTCTTAATGAAGATGGTACTTTCATCATGCAGATGGTATTCTGGTTTCTAAACAATCGCTTTTAAAAAAAATTGGAAAACATTTTGCTTCTGTTTTCTGGGTTTTCAGTAATAATTGAGAAATAACACCATTTTTGTTTTTGAATTGTAATTAAATATTTGTTCTCCTGAATTTTAATTCAATAAAAAAAGCACGCTTGGGTAGGAGGAACTTTTAATTGTACTGTAATTAAGAGGATTGTGGAGACCCATACAGTACGTTAAACAACCCTGAGTCAGAGGGTAAGTCAAACCACGTTTCTTCAGGAGCTATTTCTGAGCTAGTGTTCTGTTTGCAGCTATATAAGGAGAAATGTATTTGCTTCTAAAACAGCTAAAATGGTGAAACACTAGCTCCTGTTTGTTGGAAGTCTATACTGACCTTGGGAGAATTTGTATGAGAAAGCATTTCACCACGCAAGGTTTCACAGGTAAATTAGATAGTAATTTCTCCTTTGAAATGTTGCCTTGAAAGAGTCAGAAAACATGTTTATGTTGGTAATTTCTGAAAAGCCTAGAATCTATTCAGATCCTTTGCTTTGTGAACGAACATAAAACATCGATAATACTTGGTTCTGCACAAATGAGAATAATTTTTCTGCAAAAGAAATGTTTTCATTTATTTGAGGGAAATAACATTCATCTCTAATTTATAATTATTACATTCATTCTCTCTTCTTATAACCTCGAGATGTTATGATAGCAAGAACTCTGAATGTCATGGACTTTCTTATTCTTTTCTCTCCTTCTCCCCCTTCAATCCCTTTAACCAGGGTTAGGCCGTCTCTGTCCCTTTCTCTATTTCATTTTTACAATAATATACAATACAGTATATAGTCGTCAGCCATTTGTTATACCCAAACTGATTTGGAGTTGCCATTTGTGTGTTTTTTACGCATTGACCAGTCTGGTGAGTATTTATGGCAAGAATTAATTTTCCATTCGTGTGATTAACGACAAAGAGAAGGCTATTCATGGGATCTGCTGTATTCCCTGCGTTTTATTATTATTACATTTTATTTGGTATACTTTACAGTACTGTATTTGCTGTATTACTGTTTTCATAATACATTAAACTACATACATACGCATACTAATACACTTTTAATTGATTTTTCTTGTTTAAGGGAGAGGAGAAGGAGGGTCTAAGAGCAATGTTCTGATGAGACATGATTATGGGTATATTTGCTATGTCAAGAGCTATATGCGAGTCTGCTGTATTTCTGTATGAATGCTGATTTTCCTACATGTTTTTATCGACTGTCATTAATATATTTGGTTCATGTGGTATATAGAAAAAAACCCAAGTGCAGAAATGCTTTTGGGTGTTTTGTTCTGAAAGATTCTTCGCATTTACAGGATGGCAACATTTTCTGGATGTTTGAACAGGAACCTGTCAGTTTTTAATAGATGCATTGGGTCTAGATGCAAAACTGAGAAACTGAGTCTGTTTAACAGGAACGACAGGTAGGGGTAAACATGAAAAATTTAGCTCTGGGCTAAAATCTTTCACTGCCAAATTACCAAGCTGCCATCAACTCGCCAATCAATACAGCAGAAGATGAACCCTGATTAATTGACTTTTTACAACATTTTTATATCAAATTACCTTTGAACTTCAGTACATAAAACTGGGTTTGTTTTGTAAACATAAATAGCCACTTAATATACAGTACAGTCCCAGAAACTCAAAACAGCTATGACAGACAGAAGGTAGGTAACAATAGTTTGAAGTAAACAACACCTCTCAGCAACAGGCATGATACAGAATGTATTAGAACTTCATACAGTACCTTCTTACAAAACCCCCAAGGTGTTATGAGTGTTAATAGTTGCCATGAAAAATACGATTCGGAAGGTGTGGAGGGCAAATGTACACACAGGCCGTAGAGGCAATCAGAATTCCTGCTGCTGACTGAAAAGCTAATACTGTCAGATTATTTTCTTGAAGCTGGGCTTTGCAAACATTTTCTTTTTCGCCAAGATGAAAAACAAATGCATCACATATCTTTCAGTGTGACTCACTTTCACTGTCTTGGGTGTTTATGTAGTCCTGATAATTAATGAATTACAAACACAGCTTTTCAAAGGTGCAGTCTCCTGAGTTAGTGTGAGGCGTTGTTACGCTGAGGAACGTGTTGAGTGAACAAGGTGCCAAGAAGTATTGATTGTAGAAAGTGCAGCTTCCCGCTAGCAATGTGGAGGTTTAGAGCTGTTGAGTTGAAATTGAGCATGTCCCTTTTTTAACGTATTGATTTAGTTGTTGTTAGGTGAATTAAAACAAACATGTTAACCACTGACCTTAATCTCAGTGGAATAATCTAATTTTAAACGTCATGAGAGATGGTTTTTGGAGTTTGTGTTACAGTTTTTATTCAGTTTGGTCTACTATTATGCCCTTATTGACTCCTTCTTTTGAGTCAAATCTTCAGGCAGCTTGTTAGTGACTGAAAGATTCTCCATCCCTACTTTAGACTGCACCTCAGACATGAACCAGGAGAAATGACAGTGTATTGACAGATGCTCCTGAGATCTCCTATTAAAAACACCATCTGGCTTCAATGAACTTGGATCAAATCCAGCCTGCTGTTTTCAGATCGTTGGATGGTGACTGTGTACAGTGTATCGGCATAAATCTAGTTGGAATTGGAAGAGATTAGGAAGCACATTGTAGAAAAATTAGAACACTTTGCTTTGGATTGTGAACTGCAGCCTTTGGTAATTAAAAAGATCCAGTGTGACAGTATTTTGGCCAGTTATTGCTGTGAGCTGGCATGCAACAAGCTGTATCACTTAATTCTCACTGGTGTGATAGCACTGGGAAGAAACAAGACTGGAAGGAGATAAAAGTGAAATAGAGTTTAATATATAACTGAAGCCTGATAATGATTTGGTTTTAAAGGACTTGTAGTCACTGGAACTAACAGCAATAGGAAATAGTAAATGCTGTGAGAGGGTGCCCTTGCTGGCAGGGTGACGGTAATATTCCAGTTACAAACTATTATTGTTAATAATAATAGAATATTATTGCACAGCTATCCCATGGTAATTGCAGGTCAGTATTGAACAACTTTATTAAGAAATTAGGGTAATGGTCCTTTAAATGCAGGACAACAAAGAATACAATTCCAATATTTTTTTGAAAGGAGATGCCTTTACTAAATGTAACGCTGTAATTAGAAGAGAATTGTCATCTTACCAGTTTTTCTCAGCCTGTAGTTCATGAACAGCTTCCTAATGAAACTTTCATTCCAGCTGCTTCACCAGATATATTCCCAGTAGTGGAATTCTTATATATTATTATCCATCCCATCCATTTTCCTTGCAAACCTATCCTGGAAAGCAATGGGCACAAGTCGGGATATACTTATACAGTAGTGACTACATTATCAGGATCCTATACTTCACATATAGAATGACGAAGCTCCTAGAGTTATAGATAAAATTATAATTCTATCTATAATTTTGACCCTACTGGCTTCTGAGTAGTTTCTTTCCATTTTTAGTGCCAACCTAGCTGATTGTCACTTCTGAATTTCACTTGGTGAATCAGTTCACCAAGATATATTCTGATTCAGAGTTGTTTTTGATCTCTTGGTCTGGTTTGTTTTGTGGATGGCAGACAGTGCATTTCCTTGGTAGTATGTGGACAAGCTTCCGATGAACCAAAACAGCCAAAGGGTTTGAATAATGGTCCATTAAATTATGAACATGAAAAACATTTTGTGGCACCTGAGTGCGTCCAGGAAGAAATTTACATTTCTGTGGTACCCTTATTGTACATAAAACCTAATAAATGAACCCCTCTTTTTCAAATTGGATCTGATTTAAAAAATGAATTGGGTTTTATTAAAAGTACATCCGGGCTTATTTCGTTTCAAATCACAGTCCAGCAGAATGTATTTGCTCCACACAAACCTCAGTTTTCACAGGGGGAAATATGTCTTCCCATCACATTGCCAAATTACAGTGTTTCAGATATTGCAGCCTGCAGGCTCAGCTGCTGGAACTTGATCTGTTTTTGCTTGGGATTTTGAATACACTGGCATAGATCAGAATTACTGTAGGCATTAAAAATTATAATTTTGTTCTTTAAAAGGAGATGATTTGTCCATGATCCTGCAAGTGGCAGCCTTTTCTCCCTCTAGCTGATAGCCATGAACAGAGAGCTGCTCTTTCCCCGAGATGGTCACAGCTGCCCAGAGCCTGTTCGAGCAACAACCCAAGGCAGGATAAAGCCCTAAACAGGACTCCAGGCTTCCAGCCAATGCAAAAGAAATTTCAATTCCTCGGTGCACTAAAAGGAAAGAACAATCAGACATTACATCACTGTAGAATTTCAATTTCATTTATCAAAATCCCAGGTAAAACATCTAAAAGTGTTCTTATCTCCTTATCAACACCAAGGACACTGTTAGAACATGATAGGCCTTTGAGTTCCTAGCAAGTGTGTCACTGTCCTTTGACTCTGAGAATGTGGGAACAAAATTAGACATCTTTAGAACATGGTGCTCAAGAATGCTCTATGAGAACATTTTCCATTTTGCCATTTTTTCTTTTGGTCTGTCCCACAACCCACAGATTATAATCCAGAGTATTTACTGTTAATGCCTCAACATTATTATAAATGCATTTTGTATTGCTTTGGATTCGACATGCGTATAATGAGTGATTTCGTTCCAAAGCAGTTTGTATATTGTTGCATCCATCCTGTCGGTAAGGAGATCTGACAAGTTATTTTTCATTCAGGGGCCATGACCTTGGTTAACATCACACTTATGTTACTACTTTTCGAAACAAATTACATTTTTAATTAAAATGCAACTTTTCATCTACTGCTTACTGCTGTAAGTACTTATGATTGTTGCTAGTACGTTGAGAGCTAATGTAGATGAATTGAATATCCATAACAAACTCTAATGCTCATCAGGTTATTTGCTGAAGTTAGCCAGATCCATTTACTGTATAATACTTTCCAAATGTAGAAATAGTTCTCTTCTTATCCAATTAGAATGTGTAATTCTCTAGGTACTAAACTGAAGCAACCTTGACGAGCCCTTAATTGAGTTTTGAGCAGGGGTGTTTGAGAGGTCCCATACCGAGCCGTGTAGTTGGAGAAGTGTCTTTGGGGGTTGGGTGCTTGGGGGTGTTCCTGTCTGTGATTGCAGAGACCATAAAGAATGTGCCCTCCTCCCGGTGCAAAAGGATTTGAAGGCTCACAGTACAGAAAGTAGCAGATGGCTCGATGACACACATTTCGGGGGACATGTCTTGTCTTTTCCATCATCAGTGTGGGGGCGTTCAGTGATGAGTCACAGGTAGAATAAAAATGGGCTCTTGCAGATGGGTGGGAACCAAAAGGGGGAAAACTGATGACTGAGCCTAAACATAGATACTTTTATTTACAAAGGTGGAAAGGAGAGTGCCTGCGAATGACGTCAGGTTACGGGCGAGGCAGAGCAAATCTGAGGAACTGAGTCACCCACCTTCAATCTTGTAACTGCCACTCAAATTCCTGGCCACCTGAAAAGTGAGAGGGAAAATTACCCTTTGCCTAGCTCTCCCAAAAAACCAAAGTACCAAGAGCTTGAGCAGGGCTTTTTTAAAACAGTGGTAGACACATGAATATTGACAGGAGCCAGGCTGTGATTCTAAAATAAGACAAAGAAATGAACAGAGCCAGGAAACAGTGTCTTTATTTCCCAGGCTAAAATTAAACTCTTGTTTAAAACCAGTTGGTAACATTTTAAGCAATAGCACCTCTTCTTAATCTGTTTTTGTGCCTTAATAAAAACATAGCTTTGGGGGGGGGATAGTTTTAGACAGAAATGCCAAGAATCCATAGTCCAACCCTATAATTTGGATTTCAGAGCGTGCTTTTGATGTGACACAGAAGAGTGACAGTAAGGGCTTCTGTTTTTCAGGCGATTTTCTGGTACTCTGCATAGAAAATGTTAAGGCAAATGTGTGCTTACGAGAGGAAGGAAATTCGAGCAAGGATGAATCAAAGTTTTCTATGTACAGTCGCTGTACTCACAGTGAGACTGTACTGCTCTGATAAATATTTTCCAGTTTGTGAAGAAACTTGCTTGTTTAGAAATTAGACTTGCTGCTGTTATTCTGTCACACTTTCCAAAAAGTGGCATGGCTGCTCTTAATATTAAGAATATCTGAAAACTGCTCCTTGGTATTTTTTTGTGTGACATTTTTACATATTTGGCAGTTTTGTTCCATCTTTCAGGTGATTTGTGCAGAAAACAGTTGGGGCCTCTTGTCAGAAGTATAAATTTTTTCTGACTTGAATAGGCCTTTTGGCCAGAGAATTCACAGCAGTACAATAAAGGGGACTGGCACTAAGCTGTGACACAGAATTGCATGTGTTTTTCACCTGTAACAGAACGTTCATGATCCTTTTTTTGCAGACTCTGTGACCGTGGAAATGTCCCAGATGAAAACAGACATATCTGAGGCAACACGTTATGCATTCAGAAATTGTTTTACTTATTTCTAGATTTCTAAGCCAGAATTAATATTGATAATTAAACAAATAGTATACCTGTTTTTATGGTTGTTTTTGGCAGAAATTCATTGCAATAAAGTACAGTATCTGTTTTTAAAGAAAACATTCTCAAGTTCTAAAATTGTTTTATTTGGTTTACTAGATTTTCTAGATACTGTAATTAGCTGTCCCATTACATTGAGTACCTACTAAGTGTTCAGCAATACTCCCACTACAGGTGCAAGACTACCAACTTTCTACATTGTCATACGACTCCAAACCCGTAGACATCAAAAAAAAGCAGCGTGGACCACCATTATTAGAAATTAATTTCTATAAGCTGTTTGCTGTGACTGAGCACATAAATTCCCTGCATTTCTATCTTTCTAAGACAGAATAACTCAAAGCTCTATCTCATATCCAGTACAAGTTATTTAATGTTAAGATTTTTTCCTTTAGTTCAGCTGCCAAAAAGGACAAATGTCCAAAGTATCTTTCTTAAGCCACAACAATTAGTATAAATCAGTCGGGATGTTGCTTCTCAAGCTTGATGAATATGGCACTGTGCAGTTTCACATCTTTGCTGAAACTCTTCTACAGCCACTGGATCAAAAGCATCAGAATTTTGTAGGTTTCTTGTTAGACACATTCCAATTTATTTCATTTGTGCATTTTCATCAATCTGACTGAGATGGCCGAGACAGACCAATGCTCAGAGTTTGATGACATTTCATTTTATTGATGAAGACTTCCATAAATCTGTGCCTGAGCGGATTTTTCACGTGTGAATATTTTGGGATTGATGAGCTTTTCAAAACTCCTCTTGTTAATGACCGATAAAAGCGCACCTGTGAAACAGTGTTCATAATCTTGCCATGTCTAAAGTTAGGTCTGCTCACAAAAAATGTTGAGTGTTGCACTTAAGTAAACCTTCATGAATCCTTTGGATGGCTAATGTGGCTGTTAGCTGTGTACTCTTCTCTTCACTTTTAATAGAAGTTGACCTAAAAAAATGACTGATATGAAGGCTGATATGCGATGCAGTAAATTCATTTTTCAATCTCTTACTGTACAGTTCTCACCCTGCAACATATACTGCTCACTATCACAATTTATAATAGCTCCTACTAAAAGCACAGAACATTATCAAATAAAATGACACTAAAACAATGCCTTCCTGTTCAATAGCTGAAATCAGAGATTAGTATGAAGATCTTGTTCATTCAGAGCTACACCATCTTACGGGCTTTTCCAACTCAGGTCTCGGTTATTTAATTGATCTCATTGTTTTGTTACCAACACAGACACGCTGCAAGACATTTCTACAGGCAGAAAAACGTTGTGAGTATACCCTGCATCTATTAGTTAATATTTGCGTTTAACATCCATATTGCAAATTCAGAAATTTTCCACAAAGAAGGTGAAAAGGGAGAGCGAAAATCAAAGAATGTGTCCTTTCAAACAGTTACAGTAGCTGTATGGATTGCGGAACTCCAGGATGAGTAGTTAATGACACCACTCGAGGATTTAACAGAGTTTCACAGGGAGAGACAGGTATGCACTAAAGTGTAATTTAAAAATAGAAATTGCTTCTTTTTATTCTAGGGGGGTTCCTAAAGCCCAAATCATGCAATCCACATGCTCCAATCAAAGCCTGACGAAGTGCCATGTTTATTAAGCATGTGTGGTTTCCGTCACCTAAAGTGACATACAGTGCAGTAAGAACATAGGAACAGTGACCAATAAAAGGAGTCCATTGTGGCCATCAGACACTTTCGTAGCTAGCAGCTGATTGACCTGAAGATTTCATCCACATGCTTCCTGAAAGGCAGCAGAGCATGCCGGGTAACAACCGATACTCCCACAACACTTTGCTTGGGGTGCCTCCAATTCTCAGTTTTAAATGCACTTCCACACAGTTTCTCCCTGTTGTCCTCTGGTTTCATGTTCCACTGCCGATTCTGAAGAAGTCCACTGGGCTGACTCTTTAGAGTATTCTGAATTTCTCAAAACCTATCTCCATATCCCCAAGTTGAAGGCTAAAATAGTTTGGTTCCTTTAGCATGTTCATGTAGCCTGAGAATGGAACTGGTTTGCTACAGTAGACTTTTTTTTTTAATACCACCAGTATGTTTTTTTTAATGTAGTGATCAATATTGGACACACTAGATAGGCTTGACTCATTCTAGAGATAAATATACATACGATACAGTAATCTAACAATACAGTGAACATGGATAAAGCATTAATTGAGATAATACAGATAAAAATACTGTAGAAGGAAAATATGTGCAAAAAAGAAGGAAAGAAATTTAAGTAGTATAAATAAAGGCAAAATTATCAAGCATTCTCAACTGTACACAATACTGTTCTTGAGTTGTTGGCAGTTTTCTGTTCAGAGATAACTAGCATTGCTAATAGTTTTACTATAACAGTCATTTAGGTTTAGTTTGGCTGCATACCTCAAGAAAACATCTTTCGATTCTAATGACAGGTATTTTACCTCCAAGATAAAAATTGGTGAATGCTGGCCCTCTCACTTAAGTTTAAATATTAAGTCTTGAAAGCTGTGAGTTTTAACAATCACTGCTTTAACCGGTTCTCATCAGATTGAGCACAGGAGGATGCAGTGTTCAATTTCGGGATTTAGTCATCTTTGGGATGAGCAGAAATATAAAAAGATAATGGTGATTCTGTTCTCTCCTTGAACACCTCAGGGGACAAAAATTGTAAAGATTTTATGGAAAGAAGAACAAAGTGATTAAGGATTTGAATGAATTACTTCCAAAGCAGCCTCTTAATTTTGGTCGCTGTTCTTAGTGGCATCGTCCTTTCAATTAAACGTGACCCCATACAGTTTCATACCCACTGCAGTAACGTAGAGGCAGTAGGAAGCTCCTTATTTTACCTTTCCAGCTTAATGCTTTTTTACAGTCACACTGGTATGTCATTAAGCCCTGGATTATAAAGTCTGGAGACAGACCTCCTATCTGCCGGAGGGAAATGTTTTGTGTAGATGGCTTCATTGTAAAGCACTTTGGTCATGCAGCACTATTAGTAGCAAGGGGGTTAAAAGAATGACTACTTATATTGACGTATTGTATAATATGAAAAAACTAGCATGACAGAACCAAACAGGTAGGGAGGAGCTGATCTCGTTTATTCAGAACTGCACCATCTTGGCTTTTCCAGTTAAGGTCTCAGTTATTTAATTGGTCTTATTGCTTTGTTACCAAGACCCTGAGCAAGGCCCTTAACCCTAACTGCTCCAGGAGCGCCGTCCAATGGCAGACCCTGTGCTCTGACCCCAAGCTTCTCTCCCTGTCTCTGTGTCTGTGTCTCCATGGAGAAAAAGCTGGGGTATGCGAAAAGATGCATTCCTAATGCAAGAAATTGTATAGGGCTAATAAAGAAACATTATTATTATTACTACTACATGCTGCCACAGTTTTCTACAGGCAGAAAAATGTTGTGAGTGTAGTATACTCCCCATCGCCTTTGTCCCATAAACGATGCGCTGTGAAAGATCTTGAAATAAAATGCTAAATATGTCCAGATGAAGCAATTAACTATTCACTTAACTCTGGAGTGTAGGCAACAACTAAAACCAAAGGAGACAGTAGTCGAAACTGGAGTGTGACTTGCCTGTAATAAATTAGTAACATTTACCTTTAACAAATCGTCTGCTTCGATAGTTCTCTGAGGGAAAAACAAAGCTGTCTTGAACCTAGCAAATAAAATCCCTATGCCTCTCTGCCAGGTGTTTGGATTGCTGTTGGGACTGAGCTCAGCCACAGACACACACTCTCATTAGGGAATCCTCTTGCACAGTCAGCGAGGAAGATCCTCATTTAAACCACAGGACTGTAGATGCCAGTTTAGTGGGTGGGTACAGCGCACAATGACAGATTCCCAACCTGTGCCATCCATATGGATGTCAGTGCACATCAGTCAAAAATGGCTGTCAGGTGGCTATAATTTTTTATTCATTATTTGCGCAATTAAAAACCCTTGCCGTTTCCATGGCCACACATTTTGTCATGCATTAAAAGAACTGGAGTGCCTTGACAGCAGATGGGGTTATTAAAAAAAAAAAGCCTCTTTTGCTTCACACCTGGTTTGTGGCTGTGCCTGGCAGGCTTGAAAGAACAACTCGCAGTACAGCCTTTATTTTAAGAACGTTTTAGCCCAAACACATGATCCTCTGAAGCAAAATATCAACTTAGTCACCTGAATGAAAATGCAGCTGAACAGACCCACCACAAAAAAGGAATTGAACTGGAAACAGGTTTTGTCCCCCTATCATAGAACTGAACTGCAGCTGTGTATTCATTAACTTGATAATTATTTTAAACGCGTTTGAATCCGCACATTAAGTTTCATTAAGTAGCGTGACTGAACAATTCACACTAGAGACAGTCGCACTCTGGTCTTAATGTAATATGTAAACTGTTACAAACCCTGAAATAAAATTAAAGACCTTAGGGATATAGTGTAATTATTAGTAGTAGTAAATGGGGAGGTGAACATATGAGTATCTAGTGATATCAGGGTTTAGAGAATGGTACCTTCCATTCTTGAAATGGTGTCTGCCATTCTTGTAGGATGCAAATGAAAGGCAACAGCATCCACTAGGCTTCTGTTCATATCCATATTGCAAACCAATGTTTTTGCAATTTCAAAAGGTAAGCACTTAAAAACTCACTCCAGACACCTCCATGTAGAAGCTGAGAGATAAGTCTCCATAACCAAATGCAAACGCACGCACACACACACACGCACCAGCTTGAACAAAATGGCTAGATACAGTACGTTCCATACTCCTTGCATAAATTTACTATTTTAAAAACCCTTCAAGTGTACTTTTACCACCTGCAGCTGCTCTGAGTTTTAGTCGTGTCCTCCAGTTTGTTTCAGTGTTGACTCTACTGTGGAACGATACGATTTTCCTGGTTGGTTTGTATAAATTAGAATGCCTTTGGCAAACTTTGCCAAGATCTTTTTTTTGTACCGTTTGATACGCTGGCGTCTTTCGGAACTGTGCCCGGGACTGTGGCGAGATAACGATTAGCGCCAGAGGGCTGGATGGTTTGTTCTTGTAAAACTGTCTTATGTTTCTTGTTCTGTAACAATGTGGGAGTCAGTTAGAAACACGCTACAGAAACGTATTGTTATGAAGCTCATTTGCTCACCTTAAGCTACGTTTGACTGAGTTATTTTGTGGTCTCGTACAAACAGTGAGACCCCACAACAATTCTAATCACCACTCAATGGAATTTGCCTCCCAACCCCTCCCCCATATAACCTCGTTGTAGGAGCTGTTGGTTTAAAATGCATTTAGAGTGGATCAGCTTGAAACCAAGCTTCTCCCTTTCATCTCCCAACGACTTCTGAGCCTGCAAAAGTCACACCTTTTAATCTCGGGGCTAACTTGTCAGTCAGAACAAGCAGGCTTTGCATTCATTATTCCTGATGGGTTTTTTTCTGGTCTGTTGTTTTTAACAGTGATTTAAAGAAGACATTTTGAATTTAAGGTAAAGAATAAAGAATACACAATCTTTCTGTTCTGATCATTTGAAAGACTGTCATTGTGTTGCTTGTGATTACTTTGGCCACATGATAGCATAATTAAGAACTTAGGCCAGTTTGCCTGTTGGTAGTTAGGAGAAAGAAGCAAGGTTATCAGGTGTAACAGTATAGCTGGGTGGCATATTCCACACTCACACACCTCTTTGGGCAAAGAAGTAACACTTTCATCTTCTGATTACATGGCTCCTATACAGTGTTTGGGGTGCAGTTTTTTGTAACTGTGGGAGAATAAATGCAGCTGCTAATAATAATGTGCTGGTTTGCTCAATAAAATTGAATGAAAAGTGCCTATGAGTGGAATATAGCAATGATCTTAAAATGAGCAATCAATCACACGAGCTGCATTTGACTAATGGCCGACTTTGTTTGACGGATGGCTGAAGTTAAATATGCCTGGATATACATGAATGAACTTGATATTTTTGGAAATAAATAATCCTAACACAAGTGGGGGCTTCACGACTATATACTTGAGGAGGACCTCTCCTTATACTCTTTTCCTTTTCCCAGAATAATGGGATCTGCAGCAGCCAGAGAACCAACCTGGTTATTTCAGATACGAGGGATATATATAGATCAGAGCAACATTGCTGAGGTCCTGTACTGCCTGCTGGTACTATTCCTTACTGTAGAATCTCTGTCCTCCCCTCACATTTAATGAAACACAGGGGAAGTAAGCTGAACAGCTTACAATGCGTTCGTTTTGCTTGTCTCTTTTTTTTTTTCCCCGCTCCACTGCAGTTAATAAGCTTGCTTTGTTTCGAAGCCAGCTCTCACCTCGTCGCGCTCTGGCGATATGCTCTTCCTTCCCTCACCCGTCCGGTGTCTGTTCAGCGCTGGAGCATATCACAGGTGTGCCCGCTTGACGGTGACATCACTGCGTGCGCACGGAGGCTGACCTTGCTAAAGGTCTCCATTCTGGAGCACCTGGCATGTAAATGAGGACTCCAGACTTCGGCATTTGAGACGGGGGGGGGTTACTCTCCGGTTGAGGAAAGGGGTTCAGGAACAACTCACGTGAGCCACGAGCTACTCTTCGAGATGACAGGGAAATGACAGATTAATCTCCGTCTGTCTCCCACCTACCCTTTCACACGGGCTCGCTTGCCTTCAGCGATAGTAGCGGGAGATGGGGGTTTAAATACATGCAGACATGTCTTTGAGGGCTGTTGTTTCTGCACCATTTCAACTCGACTGATTGCAGCAGGGAAAAGGCTGTGTTTTTTCACAGCACATACTTGAGAATCGTAGGCATATGCAGGTAGATGTACAAAAACAGAAAATGTCAATCCAAGGTAGAGATACAGGAATTAAAAAAAAAAAATCTAGTTTATTTTTTAGTTGGAAATGAATTTTTGTTTCAAAAATCCAACAACCTTTTGCTCCTTAATCAAAACACCATTCAAGATGGTAACTTCAGAAACTAATGTCTTTTTTACACGTCATACTTTTAAAGTTTACATCTTTGCAGTTACAGTACGTTATTGAATAAACCCATTAAGTAAACTCAGATTAAACAACCATTTTGTCCCAGATACCCACAAATGATAAACCGTATAGTTTATGGTGACTTTCAGCAGAAACAAGAAGCCACTTATAGACAAAATACCATAAAGTACCAGGTTTATACTTTGATGGTTGGGCAGGTCTAATTCTTGATTTAAAAAAGGCCATAGTGACATACAGTAAGAGCTCCAGAAAATTCAGCACTAATTCTAAATTTGAAACACATGTTGATTGCACATCTCACCGATAATGCTCACTGACCTTTGTGTTTCAGCGTCTCATCCCATTAAAATTTGGATTTCATTTGACGCCCTTACCATGACACTAATAACAAGATGGGAATTTTCCCTGCAATGATATTAACCTCGCACCCTCATGTGGTGGAAGCCGGGCATAGATAAAAACCCGCCTGCGTGAGGTTACCCTAGCAGAAGATTCCGAAAAACACGCCATCGGAATAGTAACAAATGCCTTTTTCCAGCTGCCAGTTGCAACAGACTCTTAGAAACAAGCAGAAAGGCCTTTTAGAATACAAACGACTACAATTCTCTGTGGAAAAGCCCCAAGGTGATGCACCAAATGAGAATTCAGTTTGTTTAATTTGTAGAGTTATGTAGATGTGTGAAGAGACAGACTCCTGTACCTAAACAGTATGTGACTTATGCAATTTATGTGATTGTATGCGATTTCAGGGCAACTGGTGTAAAATACTTTCTGCCTTGAAAATTCTTTTACCACATATGTTCATCTTTAGTTTGCATTTATATAAATGCCCAAGTGCACATCTCCTAAACGCAAGGATTTTTTTGGGTGGGGAGGGCTAATTGGTTCCTCATTTCTAAATTGTACAAAACATTTTTGGGGGACAGGCAAGCAGGAAAATATATTATAGCCAGTGTGGTGTCTTAATGAAAAACTGGTTTGGTGAATGCCCTTTACTAGAATTCAATACATCTAGGGAAACATACAAGCTTTGTTTTTATAAAATTGAAAGACTAGGAATGGGGACAAAGTTATTCACTGCCGAGCAGCGATTACTTAGTCTTCATTTACTGTATTCCCCGAGTTTCACCGAGCCCCTGTATGATCTACTGACCCCACACTAGACCTGCCAGACTATCATTCTCAAGTAATTTGTTAGCTGATTAGCCCTCAGTTTCTTCTGCTGTGGTCTGTTTGATTTCTGCCTGGCCAGGTAATTCAGACCAAGACAGAAGCTAAAGCTTTCAATTTTCACTTTAAGATCATGTGTTAGAGCAGATGTCTCATTTATTGGCCTCTATAATGTAGAATAGAAGATTTTCTACATGCAGAATGTAGTGACTAAATCAGTTTGATTTTTGAAACTGGCATTAGGCTGCACTTTCAAACATGCAAAGAACCACTCAGTTCTTGCAGATTATCTTTTGTGATGTTTTGGTGCATCAGATAAACTAAGATTATAGTATATCTCCATATAGTAATAGTGCTCAGCAGTTTTTTCAAAATACAGTGGAATATGATTGAGAAACATGGAAGAGCAGTTAAAATGGAACAAGTAGCACTTTTGTCAGAGGGTTCTTTCTGGGTGTTTGGACAAGGCAAACAGCCATGCTTCTGAAGCTCATACCATAGTTTCTTTCCAAATCATGGCTGGATGAAACCCTTGGATCAGTTTGCAGTTATTACAGCCAATTGGGATCTCAACGTTGTGCTCCTAGAGAAAAGCTTGCAAAGTACTTCAGCCTCAAGCCTATGAAAAAAACAGTATGCAAAAACACAACCAAAGCTCCCACTTTTTAGGAAGAACAATAGAAGTAAAAAGAATCCTTGCTAAACTTCAGCATTACTCACTTAGTCTTTTCTAGCATCCAACATAATACATCACCAAAAGCCAGTCTCAGGTCCTCTTCAGACAAAAGAGCCTATCCTGTCTTTGACATGCCCTTTTAAATCCAGCAAGAAGGCAGCTAATCCCTCACAGCTGAGGGACAGGAAATGAGCAGCCCATTTCCACCAGTGCATCTTGGGATGTGTAGTTCTTCACCTTCCCTGCACAGAGGAAGTGACACAGTCAAAGAGGGAAGAGGCTTCTCAAAACTCTAGGCCCAAAGCACACACCCTCTAAGACCCTGCCCCTCACTTAATCACATTACCAAACATTAGACGAGTTAAATAGGCCATATGGCCTCCCATCACTTGCAGCTTTTCCTTGTATGCATGTAAAATCTGTAAAGGTTATTGAATGATAACAGTAGTATTATGAATTAGTACTGAAATAAGAGGTAGGTGCAGTGTTTCATGAAAATCTGACTACACTTAATCCACAGGATATAGTAGTCTTTAAGAAAAATAAATGAAGGGAAGGACATTTATTTAGTGATACATTTATCTCACTTTAGTATCAGCTTTACCCTTTAGTAATGGCCCTTTCAAAACATTTTAGGATGAGTTTAAAAATAAACCTGCTGTATATATACCTCTAGCATTTACCATTCTGATTTGCTTCCGGGTCTCCTTTTTTATTAGTGGAGAAATGCAATTAATACAATTTAATGCTGTATTATCTGTCGCATTATTACTGAAACTGACATTTTGTTTGTTTTACTTGCACTTTAAACTTTTCTCTATTTCTTGTTAGCTAAGCTCCACTTCATTTTAGTGCAGAAAAAACTTCTTCGAGCAAGGATAATGGCATATACTGTAAGATTGCAGAGACTGTGAGCAAGAGTAATGTGCTTATAGAAATGTTAATAAAAGCCTCCAATTAGTCACCTTGAGTTAACAATATTAATCACAGCTTGGCCCTATCTTCAAAATGTGTTCCCTCTTCCGTCTGTTTTATGGGTGATAATGCAGGGTGTTATTGTCTTACAAAAGTTGCCAAGTCTCTGTTGATGTTGATAAATTGAGATTGCATTCAATGGCCAATTGAGTTTTGATCCATATGAGGCTGCTGAACGAGGTTGTTTAAATGAATATGCCTTTGCGAGAGAATGGGTGGTTTCTTTCTGTGGCAGGGTTACTTTCCTAGCACATATCATTTCGTACTTGAAGAAGGTACACAATGTGAGGTTAAGGCACCAAAAAAGAGTAAGAGATTAAGACTTGTTGATGGAGTGGCCAGCACAGCGCTGAGATAACAACAATCCAATACCCTATAACTCCCAAGAAGACGCGCTGGGATTTTATATACCAGTGAGCAGGATAATTATTTTTCGCAGGACAGCTTTCACAGTAGGTGATTTTATTAAATAAAGAAGGTAAGCTTGTATTCTTGAACTGTATGTGGTCATGCAAAAGTGTTTTTCATTTCAGAGTGATGTTTGTGTAGGAGGGCTTTTCCTAGGCTTGGAAATGCAATTGAAAGGTATTATGGTTAAAACCAGCAGTCTCCAATTCACTTCCTGGAGGGCCTAATGTCTTCTGATTTTTCTTCAATTTTCCTTGTTGGTCTAATTTATTTCAGTAGATGCATAACTGTAATGTTTCTAACTGGACTATGAGTTGATTTATTGGTAACTCTATCTTTAATGAAGTGAAGGTCTTGTGTAATCGACTGTAAAAGACCTTAAAGATGTGGTCTAATTTAGGAAATAATGAGGGTAATTGTTTAATGTATTATTTGGGTTGGAACAAAAATTAAAACGCACTAGGCCCTCGCAGGAATTTGAAGTTTGAGACCCCTAGTTCAAAAGATAATATATTAAGCATTAAGATTGTTTGTTTTTTTTCACATTCCCTGGATTAAAATCCATTATTTGTGAAGGTGAAAATGTTGTGCCATACATTCTCCATAGAGAGCATGTAAAAAGGTATACACGTTTTCCATTTGTTTTTGTTTTTTTTTTAAAACGGAGTTGCCAATCATTTTTATACCCTCTCCTCAACTTTGGACCAAGCTGACCTTATTTCAGCTTCACCTTCCACTTGCATAGGAATGCAGGAGATGGGAATTAAATGCATACTTGGCTGATCTGCAAAACCTGTCATCATCTACTTTATTTCAAACTCTGACCCACGTCGCCAACCGCAGGGCCACAATTCGGCACAGTTCTCTTTGATAAAACATGCAGGTGCACAGGTCAAGGAAAGACCTGAACTCCGTCCTCAGCCAAACCTGCTGATACTTGTCACTTGACAATTCCTGAGTCAAAGTAGACTTATTTTGGCTGTGATCAGAACCAGCAGAATCAGCAACTGTACTGTAGTTCCCAAGCTGCACTCGGCACAAAGACCTCCACTGGTTGAGCTGTCTGAGGCTTGTTGCTGATGCAGGGAACTCTGGGATTCTGTGCTGGCATGTCAGCGTAGCACCATCCTGATATTTTGTATACTGGAGTTTTTAAGACTGCATTTTTTCATAAGACATGAGACAGGCGCTGTATGGAAAACTTAATTGCACTCCTGTATCAACTTTGTAGTTGCATGACTATTCTTGGCACTTCTGCACTGTCTGAAATATTCCAATACTACTGTACTTATCTTCCGCCAGGATGGAAAACAGCTGTCGAGCAGAACTGGACAGCATGCAGTTGTCGTAGTGCTCTTTGTGATTCTTTTTTGCAACCCAGTTTTTTATTGTCGTATAATAGATTTGTATTCCATGGAAGTTGTTATTTATGATCTGTTGGTGTCATGGGCGCCACAGAGGCGCAGAGGTTAGCATTCCTGCCTGAAAGTGCTGAGGCCCAGGGTTAAATTCCAGGCCTGGGATGCTGTCTGTGTGGGGTTTGTATGTTCTCCTCAGTTTGCCAGGGTTTCCTCCATGTTCTCCAGTTTCCTCCCCCAGTCCAGAAACATACTGGAAGGTTATTTGGCTTCTGGGAAAATCGCATGGGTGTGAGTGTGTGTCTGTGTCTTAGTGTGTCTCTCCTATGATGGACTGACGTCCCACCCAGATTGTACCCTGCCCTGAGCCTCTTGTTTGCTGGGATAGGCTCTGGCTCCCCCCACAACCCTGAATTGAATGAAGCAGGTAGAAAATGAATGAATGGATGGAATGTGTCATCTAGAAATTCTGCTGCTCAGTACTGATGCGTAATTAATGCAGCTTCTTCAAAAAGAGATCTGGCTTGAGGAGGTCTTACTAAAGTGTGTGTTTCTCCTGTGAAATAAAGCTTTTTAGATAATGTTCTGTGAAATGTTTTCAGATGAAGAGCAAAATATTATACCGCCTGAAATCACAGAACATCACTTGAATCAGAGGGGGTTGAGTGTATTGCTGTAATTTGAAGTAAAATGTTATGTATCAGGCTCAGAGGAGCTGGGAAAGGATGGACTACAGTATTACAATGCATTATTTATGATTGTGCCAACATTGCTGTGTCTCACGTCACTGGGGATATAAAAGAGGTGGGAAATGTTGTTAATTTACTCCCTTGTAGCCTTAAGATGTTGCGTTTTGGAGTAAATTATATCTTGTGCTTCAGTGTTCACAAAATTACACCATATTGTTGTGTGAAAAGCTCAGCTGACCTTTGTAAAAACCTGCCTGTGCAGCGTCTTACGAGGGTTTTAAAATGGAGCTGAAAGAGAAGGGAGAGTGTTCTTTCTTCAAGGAAGAAAAAATTGAGCAAATGTAACTTCTACCTTCCTTTAGGGTATCAGTCGTAGTCCTTCTTCATAAAATGCTTTGGAAACTTGAAATCCCTGACAAAAAAGAAAGGAAATTTTACCACCACCTTGTAGCTGCTTGATCACATCAGCAGCCAAAACAAGTCTGCGTCTAGTTAGCAGACGTTCAGAGAAAACCAGGTTGAAATGTCACATGTAGGTGGACCAGTAGGTGGTGCTGTTACCTTTGGGCCAGAATTTTCAAATAAGTCCCCCCAGTATTGTCACACTGTTCTGTAGGATTTGCCATCCCACTGATGAGATCTTGAACAGAAATCCTGAGTACTCATCATTAATGATTCTATGGCAGTTTGTGAATAATCAGTATCCTAGTTAAGTTCTGCTCTGGGCTTGTATACGTTGACATTCCTGAAGATCCTCATTTGTTCACATCTCTCTTATTAGATGCTGCAGTTCAGTGGTAGATGAAGAGAATCCTCACCCATACTGTATGTGCTATGTGCTATATACATACAAGAAATCACCAGGCAGTGCAGGGCATCAGTTTAACCTGCTGTTATTTAAAGACACCCTAAACCACCTGTTACTTGAAGATCGGGTACACTCGTTTGAGCAGTTCATCAATTAAGCAAGTCATGTTTCGCTGAAAGAACACGGGTCGTTCAGGGATAAATTATATTCTGCTTTTTGTGCCAATTGATCTCTAGAATAATTAATTGAACATGGCACCTGTTAAATTGATCACAGTTAAATTGTTCCAGGCCTTCAGAAATTGATCATTTAATGGTAACTGGGACTCAGTGTTGGAGATCCCTGATTTACATTACAGGGAACAATAATGTTGGCCTACTGGGTCTGACACACTATTGATATCCTAGAGAAAATCCTACAATACTTTAGAGTATGAACTTTTTGACAGGATTACTTGTGTAAATCACCTGTTGATATCATGACAGTCCACACACAGCATTCCATTAACTTTTGATGTGGCTCCAGTGGGAAGTTCTGCACGTGTCTTATAGAAGTTGATCTTCCTCAGCTAAATACTGGATGACTCTCAGATAATTTGCATTGCTCTTCTGAATGAAATGCAGTGGCATTAGGACTGTTTCATTCCTTATTATACCACACTGCCATTCATAAATACTTTCCGCAGTGTTCAGATAACTGGCCTCTTTTGCTTTTCTTGTTTTGGAAAAAAAAAACAATTCTGCAATAATAGGACATCATTAAACCCTTTGCAAGAGATTGCATCTGTACTGCCTTTGGTCTTTTTTAGTGCTCTCCATTTAAAAACATAATTTTAAGGCACAGAAGCATCTCACTGAGTCTCTTTCTGAAAGC